TCTACCTTAAGATCCAACCATGCCACTCAACATACATCTATAAAAATATACAAAGACATGCACATGTCATGGCAACAGCACAACTCACAGGAGCCGTGATGACCTGCACAAGTCCTGCACGGCTCCCATTGGCTCAAATTTCCAGTGTGGACTGGGAGTGGCTCCTTAGTCTCCACCCCTTGCTGAGGAGCAATTGGCAGTGGATGGCTACTGTGGGAGGGAGGTCACCTTTCTCTGTAGCAGAACAGCTGGTAGGTTGCCCAGCCCCAGTGGGCGACCTCGCACGCATGCGTATATGGGCACCACCACTTGGACTCAGTGTTTTATATGCGCGCACACACAAATATACACAAACACACACACATAACAAAACAACAAACAAAGACAAGCACCAGTCACCAAGAGAACTAAGAAACAAACTGTAATGTATTAATACAATTCATTTTTAAAGCAGAAATATACATGAAATTCAAAAGCATATATTGAATGAAAGAAGTGAAGTGATGATACACACCAGCCAACACATGAGTTGTAGGATTCCATTTATATAAAGTCTAATAATAGGTCATCTATACCTGTGACATAAAAATGACGCAGTACTCATCTGTGAGGCAGAAATGAGGGAAATTTCTTGGCTATGGTCAGGAGGAAAGTAGAGTGAAGGCCGAACTCCTGCTTAGGGTGAGATTTACACCTACAAGTACAACAGACAAAGTGGGAAGCTGTTCACTTAAGATCTGCGTGTTTTAATGGAAGGGGGTAGGATTCTCTACCAGGAAACATCAAAAATAAAACCATCTAACTTACTTCACTTGACATCCCCAGGCCATGTGGACCATAACAAAAGCACAATTTTCTACTTTTGGATAGCTGGATATTTCTCAGCTGTGTGAATGAACCACATTTTCTCTATCCATCCATCCACTGTTGAATCCTTAGGTTATTCTATATGCTAGCTATTTTGACCATTGCTGCTATAAGCAGGGAATACAGATCGCTCTTTGACACAGTGGCTTTAGATCTGTGCCCAATAGTAGGGCTGCTGGACCATATGGCGAGTTCTATTATCTGGTGGTCATAATTTTAGCTTCCTATGGGCCCCCACACAGCTTTCCATAATAGCTATGTTAATTTACATTTCTACTCAGACTATGCAAGGGTTCAGTTTTCTGCTATCTTTGCCAGTGCTTATTATCCCTACCCTTTCTGATCACAGCCATTTTTAAAGGAATGAGATGCTATCTCATTACGGTTTTAATTTGCATTTCCCTGACAATTAGTGATGTTAAAGCCAGACACAGAGAGATGACAATGGTTGCATCATTTCACTTCCCTGTGGAATATAAGGATAAATAATCTCATAGAAGTAGAGATCAGAAGAGTAGGGACCAGTGGCTGGGGGAGATAGGAGGGAAACAGCTTTGAAAGATGCTAGTCAGAGACAGATATTTATAGTTAGATAAATAGGAGAAGTCACTTCAAGAAATCTCTGTACTGCATGGTGACTATGTGGGTGGTAACATATTGTATACACAATGCGAAGAGCAAGGATGCTAAATGTTCTCAATACAAAAATGGCAAGAGGGAATGCATTTACTAGTGAGATAGAGCTTCCAACTCACAAAGTATGTATTCATCTACATACGCTATTGTACATTACAAATAAATACAATTTTATATGTCAGTGTAGGAACAAAAAGCCAAACTCAAGCAATATGCAATTATTTAGTAAAAAGAAAATTGGCATGTCAATACACCTACTTAATTTTTCAAGAGAGATTTCTCAAGTATTTTTTAAGGGTAATATTCGATCTGGCTTTTAGGTAGAAGTCTGGGGGTTATTCTAAACAGAAAAACTCGGCCTTACAGGTTAATATTCTTGAGAGAAACAAAGAGAAGCCAGTAGCATATAAATATTTCAGTTCTAATTAATTAAATATAGGATGTTTGGCAATCTGGAGGCCTTTAAGACATGAAAGGACCCAAAGAAACAAAGGTGAGGAGATCAAACAGGGATGGGAAGCCAACAGCTGCGACTTAGCCAGTTAACAAACACAAACCCAACCGAGCCCTGCAAAGTCTGCGGCCTGCAAGTAATTAAGACACTACTCAGAACACCTGCAATGCTGCACACATTCCATCTCTCCTCGGAAGCCAGGGTTCCATGGGTGCAATGGCTCTCCACATAGAGGCAGGATAAAGAGACTCAGCTGGGAATGCAGCAGAAGGGGTCCAGCTTGTGCTATCTGAGCAACATCTACTTTCAATGAGTTCGGCAAAGCTTACTCACCACCTCACCTCTTCACACATTCTTCCCATGGGCAAAAAATGCACAAGTAAAGAAATGCAAATTAGTTTGTATTCTTTCTTTTAGTTTCAAAGCTTATGTTTTTAAGTGTGTGTATCTATGTCTGTCTTTCCCTCCCCCCCCCTGTGGTATACATGTGTGATTATGGATATGCATGTGACATGATATTCATGTGGAAGTGTGTTTGTGTGTTCATGTGTGAGGTGTGTACTTATGTGTGTGTGGTGTGTGTGTGTGTGGTGTGTACATGTGTGTGGGTGATATATACATATATATGTATATGTATGTATGTTGTTTAAACATGTGTGAGTATGTATTTGTATGTGTATAAGGGTGAGTGTATGGTGTGCACACAGGTGAGTATGTGTGGGTGTTCATGTGTGTGTCATGTGTTCATGCATGTGTATGTATCTGTGTGTAGTGTGTTCATGTGTGTGCATCTTTGTGTGTATGTATGTGAGTGTGTGTGTGGTATAACAAGTGTGAGTATGGACGTGCATGTATCATGATGTTCAGTAGAGATCAGAAGACTGCTCTTGGGAATCGGTTTCTTCCACCATTATCTGGGAACTGAATTCAAAGTTCTCTCATTTCTAAAGTGAAACTACTTTGATTATGTTGTTAATTTATTATTCAGTGCTAAGAATGTAGCCCAATGGCAGAACCGTCTCCTGGCATTAGCTAGGCCATCGCTTTGATTTCTAAATTTAAAAATTTCCTACTAGTATAGGGACACGAAGCACTTCTAACCAGTGATTCTAACCAGCTTTCTTGTATTTCCAGACGGAAAGCTAAGACCGGCAAGCTCTTGAGAAGATTACACTTGTGCCCCAAGTACAGGCACTTATATAAACCAACCAACAGTTGTCTTTTCCTTGGAACAGGAGCTCTACACGGTCTCGTCCCCACTCTGACTACTGGAGGGCACACTGGAGAATCTTCTGTTCCACCACCTATCCATGTTCCTGCCATGTCCTCATGTACTGTCTATCCGTGCTCCTTGCATGTCCCCTTTTACTACATATCCATGTTCCCTTGCATGTCCTCGTCCACCGCCTATCCATGCTCCTTGCATGTCCTCAGGTCTCCAAGTCCTTTCTTGAAACCAGCAGTTTTCTGTTTAATTCGATGTTGGCAAGCAGCTTGCCATAAACTGCCTTTATTAAATTGAGGTGTGTCCCTTGTATTTCTACTCTCTCTGGGAGTTATCATGAAGGGTCTTGAATTTTGTCAAAGGCCTTTTCTGTTATAAAGAGACAATCACTTAGATTTTTCTTTCAGTTTGTTTATATAGTGATTATATTTATTGATTTCTATATATTGAAACATTCCTGCATCTTCAGATGAAGCCGACATGACCATGGTGGATGAGCTTTTTTAGGTATTCTTAGATTCCTTTTGCAAATACTTTATTGAATATATTTTCACCTATGCTCTTAAGTGCTGCTTTATTTATAATAGCCCAAACTGGGAAACAACCCAGATGTCCCTCAACAGAAAAACTGATAAAGAAAATGTGGTATATTTACACAATGGAGTATTACTTAAAAAGTGACATCATGAAATCTGCAGGCAAATGAATGGAATTAAAAAAATCATCCTGAGTAAGGTAGCCCAGACACAGAGAGATAAATATGGTATGCATTAATTCACTTATATGTGGCTATTAGCTATTAAATAAATGATAACCAACATACAATCCATCTTATACAAAGACCTTTTATAAACTATACTGGATATGTGAAGATGAAATGCTATTATCTGATGAGGATAAGACTTCCATATAATAATCTAAAGTAAGTTATAACAAAGAATGTTATTTATTAAACAAATCATTGCTTATACTGTCTTAGACATAAGATTACACTACAGATTGGCTCAACAATTTATTCATGCCCTATGTCTCAGAGATGCTGAAAGGCATTGGTTGGATCTTAAGTCCCCCTTTTTTGGATTTTATGAAGCCCATTCAGAATGAGCCAGGTTGAGAACACCACCAATCCCATGTTCTAGGTCCATCTGTTGGCAAAAACTATAATGCAAACAGCTTTATACGTGCTATTTTCAATGAAATATCACAGAACAGCTTGTCCCAATGATATTTCTAAAGCTTGCCTGCAAACCGCCTACTGGGAAACCCAACAGAAAGAGGAGGGGGATGAGGAAAAAACATACAGACAAGTGACAAGAATGGAAAAAAAAAAGAACAAAAGGTAAAGACGGATCACCAAGAATGAGAACACGGGAGGACACTCTGCAGATTAGTAGTGCAGGATCTAACACGACAGCATGAGATGCCTCGAGGGAGAGGCAGCTGGAAGCAGCTGGATACATTTCAGAGAAAACGCACAACAGCACTTCTCGTCCAGAAGAAGCTTCAGAACACAGTGGCAGCTAAAGACCCACAGCACCATTGCTAGAATACTGAGAAAAACGCACAACGGCCATTCATTTTTCTATGCTTCATTTAATCCTTCTCCTAATATAAAAGTTCATTTTCCAAGAGCTAATAGAGATCTCAGCATCTATTATGAACTTTGTGGGAAGCAAGCAGCCTGTTTTGAGTCTTCTTCTTTTAATACACAAATCTATTATAAATTACACAACAGCCCCAGCGTAGAAGTGAAGCGTTTACGTGTATCAATTCAGAAACATTACCGTGCAGATGACATCATTCTAGGTACTTACTTACCTGTGGTCGGATAACTTTTACGATGTTTTTCAGGGCGGTGTCGGGGGATGGAGGTGAGCAGTCAGGTGTTGGGCCTGTAGAGCTGCTTCTGTGGTGACCAGCTCCTGGAGCAGTAATTGCTACCTCAGAGGCATTATCTGTGAGGAAAAACAGAACATCCATGAACTGAGTCAGTTTACCTCACAAGACTTAAAATTATTTTTTGTGTGAATAATTTGTGAATATGAGCTGAGATTTTTAACATAAAACTGGTATTTGAAAAGAAATACATACTGACTGTTCTGTTTTCTTATAAGAGGATGAATATTCATTCTTGAAATATTGTTCTAACATGAATGAGCAATATTCAATTTATGGTGGCAGTTATCATCCACAGTTCTTAAGACTACCACTGCTATCTGGAAGATGACAACCTTACCTTGATAATGAATATAGTTTTTCAATATGATGGGTTTGACCAACAATTCCCATAATCTTTTTAATGAAAGCTCATTTTTATTAAGTAAGAATTTCATATCTACTTGGTTCCTAGAACCCACACTCAAGCCCATAAAGTAACTTTGCCCAGCCATTCTTAAATCTGAACTTTAATAACAAACTGACATTTGTAGAAAACATAAACAAATTGATCACTACTAGATAATCACAGAAGCCTGCATGTTCAAAATTAAAATAGTTGAAATTTCAAGCTCTAAATGAACCTTCCCTGGTGTTCAGCATTTGAAAGTGGGAGGAATAGGGAGTTTAAAAAAAATATCTTGGAATTCAGCATCTTGTGCAATATTTTCATTTTCAATTTATACTTAAAGTAACACCAGAGGTACAGTTTGGAAATGTCTGAAATACCTAGAAATGGATGGAAAATAACATAACTCTGGTGAGCACACAGAAAGCTCATGTGCTTGATAATAAACTGGAAGTCTTTCGTGGCTTTTAATGAAAACTATTGCAAGTGGGAGTCTGCAAGAAGTTCATTTCTGTTATGTTTACACTTGTGTCCAACAATTTTACATCCCAGACAAATGAGCTACTGCAAATTAGACTAAGACTGTGTTTGCTTTAGATGAGCACGTTTCTCTGCTTTATGGCCACTGCTTATAGGCCCAAGGGAGCAGGGATCATTTATAAAGACACCTGTGTTCATAAAAAGAAAGGGGCTAATTCCCTTAAGACTGTGTCCACCAGATAAAAACGCGATTCAGGACCTCGGGAGATGGGTTAGTCAGTAAAGTGGTTGCTGTACAGGCAGGAAATCCCCACTTCAGATTCCCAACATAAAAGATGGGGTTATAGCATGTGTCTGTAATTCCAGCACGTGGTAGGCATCAGGGAAGGAACAAAGGGTCCCTGGAGATCACACAGGCCAGGCGGCACAGCCAAGTGATGCGATTCAGGTGCAGTAAGAGGGAGGAGGAAAGTGATTGAGGAGGACACCAGAAGACAAGCTCTGGCCTTACCATGCCTGTGCACACATATGAACACTCATCCCCTGCACACATCCTCAGAAACACACACACACACACACACACACACACACACAATTAATTTAGTTTCACTGGAGAATCATGAAACAAAAAAGCAAATGTGGAATATCTGAATTAAACGGATCATTCATAAAAAGTTTTGATCTGTATGGAGCACCCTTCTAAGATTTAATAGATACTGTAGACTATGGAAAGAGGGCAAATGCACAAAGCCCAGAGGACCCCTGCTGCAGAGAACCATGCTGTAGGTATTATTTGGGTGGGTTTATGCTATTTTACATCTGTCTAAACCAAAGATGTGAATCTCCAAAGGTGAAGACCAGATTAGACCACGAGCTTCGGGCAATCACACAGTATCTGTGCAGGCATTACCACGTACAGAGAACCACCATTCCCGTGAGAGATGCTAACGGCCGTGGGAGACACAGGGATATATGGGAACTCCATAAGTTTGCTCAGTCTTCCTGTGCATCTAGTGTGATAGAAAATACCAAATCATTTTCCCAATCTAAGCTGATTTTCTTTTTTAAAAAATAACTCTGTGATGTACTGAATACTAATAGACTTCTTTCTTAGGCTGAAAGAAGTCTAAGATGGCTAAGGTCCTGTCCCAGAGAGCTACAAGGGGCAGTTAGCATCAGGAGAAATAAATAAGGCTATATGAACACACATACTTTATTTTATTGCTTCTAACACTGATTTTTATATTGTGCCTTATTGTCCAATGAGTTAATATTAGATATATTTTATTATTATTATTATTATAGCCTATGCTTTATTGTTCATACCGTTTCTGTATTACACTCACAATTGCTTTTTATATTTATTTTCCAGTTTATCTTTTCTCTCTTCAGCTGTATCTATTCTGCTGGCAAACCCCTAATTTCAATTATATTTTTGAATTCTAAAATCCCTATCTATTGCTCACTAGCTCTCCCATATTACTACCTGACATTGCTCACTTCCCACATTTTTTAAGCTTGGCTTTTATTTACTTGAAAATGACAAGTATTGATTGTTTTAGTGTATGTGTTTAGACAGAATTTTTAAAATATTTCTAATTCAGCGTGTAAAAACTGTAAACATTTATAGGGTACATGGTGATATTTCAGGATCTCTACACAATGTGCAGGGCCTGGATTTGGGTAATTAGCTCATGAATCATCTCAAACATTTATCAATTTTTTTGTGCTGTGAATAACTGGAGGTGGGTTGGAAAAAGGATGATGGAGAGAGGAAATGAACAGATGCTGAGGGACAGATAGGCAGGACAGAGAACTTCTAAACATGTAAAAATCTGAGTCTGATTGCCACAATACCGAAGTCTTCAATGACTGTGAGTTACACTCCTTAGCATCACGGCTCATCTCCACAGTCATTTTATGTTTCACTCAGGTCATAAAAGAAAAAAACCGAGAGCATTAAACATAAATTATTTTCCTTCTCCTCCTCCTGCTCCTCTTCTTCCATCACCTATTAATTCAAAATAGCATCCAGGTTTGCATTGTAGTACTGATGCTGAATTCTGCAAAAAGCATACCTGCATACCAAACACAACGTACTTTATCTGTTTTTTGGTATTCTTTACTATAAAAAAGAGAAATGTTACAATTATTATCTGCGGCCTCTGTGTGCAGATGAAATGAAAGACAGCTAACCTACATGTAATTAGGCCTATACAAGTTTAATAAAAGTTTGTTTTTCTATCAAAGTGAATGTCATAGTTAAAGTGAGGAAGATGAAACTCCACAAAATAAGAAGACACCTAAATATGGTATCTACAGAAACAATATTGAGATGTTGGGGCAGCTTTTCAATCACATCTTTTAGTTGTTAATACAGATTAGTAGAGACAAAATGTAATTTCAGAAATAAGAGATGGTCTCTTGAGGCCTTGTCTCTTGAGGGATTTCCAGAGAAAATGTACTAGAAATGTCTACACATGCAAAAAGATTTTTCTGTCAAGATCACAGATTATGAAGGCAGAGGGCTCAAGATCGGCAGCTGTTGGCTAGAAATATAGAAGAGCCAATACAAGATTCTAGTTTGACTCCAAAAGACAGAGAAAAAGGAAAACTTGCAGGCTATGCTCTATCACAAAGACTAACAAGCTCAGAACCCTAGTAGGGCCAACTGTGAAGTCCAGAAAACACAAATGCTCTCCCTCAATTCCTCCCACTCAGCTCTTCAGTCAACTGGATAAAGTCTACACACTAAGAAAGACAAGTCTGTTTGTCTACCGTTCAGATGTTAAGTTCATCCACAAACAACCTCAGACAAACCCTGTGAAGTGCTCTGCCAAGTGCAGGCGCCCTGATGGGCATTTAGGTTGACACAAATTTAGCCGCCATAGAAATGACTCACTGCCAGGACTCTGGCCTTAGTCATTGTTTCTGCTACTTGTTTGCTTTGGTTTATGTTTTGGATTTTTGAGCATTAAAGTCAGGATCAATGCTGAAAGCTTCATACGAACATAAACCAAAAGATTCTCCAGTGTTTGCAACGGTTTAGCAAAATAGAAAACACTGGGTAATCAAGGACTAAATGACTTAGCAAACACAAGCACAAGTATCTACATTTTCTGAATCTGTGATTGCCTTAGCCATTTGATTTTATACTACATCGATTTTGCATTGTTTATCGCACAGACTCATTTCTCTTATTCTCTGTGTGACTTACTTCAGTGCAGTCTTTAAGAAATATCCAGTGAAATAAGATGGACCAAGCAAAACCTGTGCCAAACACAAGCATCACAAATGTTCTTAGTAATGCAGAGAAAGATGATCTGCTTCTCTGGTTCTGTGTTCATTCTTTCAGGAGAAGAAAAAAATCTAAATAGAGGGTATTCTAGACTTCTGAAGTATACATAAAATTCATGGGGAATACATTTCATCCTAAAATACCCTTGATATATCATTTAGTTACTTACCCAGTGGACTCTTGCAATATGGAGCCTAAGTCCAAAGCCAGTGTTCTGTGTTCTACCTGCAGTTTGTAGCAAGGATAAAATAAGATGGGGAAAAACTGCCTAGAGGGAATCGCTAGGTATACCTGGAGTTTCAGATCGAAATGAGACTCTACTCAGTCTAAGTTACTACACAGAAGGTTAGACATTATGACTGTTAGTTTTTTCCAATATGATAATCTTAGAAATAGTAGTTTATTTAGAAGACAAATACCTTACCAATATAAAATAATCCATGTGCAGGGTTACAGCATGTATGTGCCACATCCTTTTCCGGACTATACTGAACAGTTAACCAATGCAAAGGACAACACTAGGCACATAAACCTGACAAATGATACTGAGGTTTCCTCCCACTGGGATTTAGGAAAGATACCAAGAGGTAGGAAGATGAATGCTACAAACTGTAGCTTCTATACAGACATTGGATTTTAAGTTGTGACGTAGCCTGTCAATGTCTAGACCACAGCTAAGGATTTTTGTTGAACTGTTAGATTATTTTGAGGTAGAGTTTTTCATGTTTTATTTGTATTTGTAAAAATAAAAAGAAAGGAAAAGAAAAAAAGGACAAAATCCCCACAAGAAAACAAACCCCAAATCTGATAACATAACCGAGCAAAACTATGCCTAATTTGTCTTTGATTTTGGTCCCGGCAATTGTTTAAAGAAAACTAATAAAGATTCTAGA